GTAGGGAGATAGGGGGTCTCCCTGTCTTACCTCTTTTAATGCAGGGAAAAAACCAAACAAAGAGCCATAGAACAAAATGTTGAAGTACCCTGACTCTAAGAAGGCTCTAATCCATCCCATGAACTCTGCTGGGAAGTCCATTAATTCCATCACACAAAAGAGATAGGACCAACTGACTGAATCAAATGCTTTTTGCAAATCAATCTTTACTGCACATCTTGAAGCAATTGTTTTCTTATTGTAGTTCTGTACCATTTCTTGTGCCATCAATATGTTATCTAAAATATTGCGCCCTTTCACAAAAGTCGATTGATTTCTACTGATTATACTTGGTAAAATTTGTTGAATACTGTTTACTAACACTTTAGCTATAATCTTGTAAAGAACATTTATGAATGCTATAGGACGAAAAGCAGCTAAAGTATCAGCAGTAGGTACCTTGGGAGCCAAAGTCCTAGAAGCTCTGTTCATTCCCTTCGGAAGTCGCTTCTCACAAAAGAATTCCAGGACACCCTTACAGATGTCCTCTCCCACAACCAACCAATTCTTATGAAAAAAATCCCACTGGCCACCCATCTGACCCTGGAGCATTAGAAGTCTCCATAGCAAAAAAAGCTTCTCTGACTTCCTGGTGAGTGATTGACTTACATAAATCCTGCTTGTCTCTAGTTACTATTTTTTTAGTCACAAACTGCCTCAGGAAGGTTTTATTTGGTTGAATCTCCATATTCACTACCCCATACAAACCTTTATGGAAACTAACAGCCTCCTCTACTATCTCTTCAACTTATGTGATTATAGTCCCAGATTCCAATTGTAGTCTTCTTATTTGTTTCTTTGCTCGTCTAATTTTGACTGACTTATGAAAGAATCTTGTGTTTGCGTCCCCCAATCTTAAATACTGGATTCTCAACTTCTGCTTATAGAAGCTCTCTTTCGCTAACTGCAATTGCTTATATGTTTTAGTCACTTTCTTGACATCTTCGAATGTATCTTCTGTAGGTGCATTTAGTGCATATAACTGCACTTCCTGCATTATTCATTCTGTTCCTTTCACTCTACCCGAAATATCTAAAAATTCATCCTTATTAAGCTTTTTCAACTCTTGCTTCAATAATTCCATCCTTCTTTTGATACTTCTCAAATGTGATCCAACCACTTTATCCCCCAAGTTGTTCTGTAATATGCCCTCATACTTTTTATGCTGTATCCACAACTCGTAGAATCGAAATGGCTTTGGGAAACTCTTCATAGCCATTGTTGGGCAAACCAAAATTCCAGAGTGATCTGAAAACGAAGGAGCAAGAAGCTCCACAAAAAAAGCCAAGGGAAGCCCTTGACCTGCCATCTCTTCATACAAATGTAAGTAGCAGCGCGTTCATTTTCATCATTAGAGGCATAAACCGCTGTAAAGAAGAATTGCTCCCTGGCAGATATCGAAACCAATGTATGTATAAAGTTCACATCTCTTTCCAATACCCCCATCTTTACTATATCTTTCCAGGCAACCCATACTCTCCCCAAGGGATGCTTAATATAATTTTCATCAAATGAAAACCCAGAAAACTTACTTTTTATCGTACCTGAAATGTGCTTTAGAACTCGTGTTTTCAACAACGCCAGAACCTGAATCTTATATTTACATACGTACTCCAACACAAAATTTTGCTTCAAGGGGCAATTGAAACCCATTGTGTTCCATACTAACACTGTCATTTAGAAAGAGGAGGGACCAGAGCCCCTTTTTGACTTCTCAATCCCTCTTGACCTTTAGTTGGCACAGGTTGCGGAGCAACTGGTATTCCCTTTGCAAAAATGGCTGGAAATGAATTGTGCAAAGTGATAGGAGTCCCCTGCAAAGATTGCTGAGTAGGCTTGACACCATTAACAACTGTATTAAACTCCTCCTGAGAAGGGAGAGCACTTGGAGTCACCGACGGAGATTCAATTGATACTGCATCCTTGATGTTTTCAACTTCCACCCTTGCACCCAAGGAACTACCCTCTCCCCCCTCTAAAGTTGGTACCTGCATCTCCACCGTCATAATATCTTTTTTTCTCCAAATCCTCTTGACATTGCCATTCATTGGAGCGGAGTAATATGCCCAAACACGCAACAAAAGCTGCAAATCTTTGGCATTTTACAATATTCCACCGTAATAAACATTTCTTCCATGCCATCAAGTGTGATACTAATCTTATCCACAGGTTTCTTCTTAACACTTATCTCGACACAAATCTTTGCCATACCCACCCTAGTACAAAATATAGTAGGTTGATCCATACACAGTAGCTTACCCAACAAACTAGCAACTCTTTCCAAACCTTCCTTTGACGAGAGCTTCGAAGGCAATCCAGTGAGCTTGATCCAAACTGGCACAACTGAGCTATCAATCTTCAGCTCATGAATGCCCGAAGCGGCTGAGCCCATCGACGCAGACATAGCATATTCTCCTTATAGTGCCAGGGCCCTCCTTCAAACACCCATCTACACGTCTTCTCCGGCCGTCGGAAACTGGAAGAGCACTAACCTATCCTCCAACCACAAAACCTTCACTTCTCCCTCGCGACCCCATAGCCAATTGGCCCAGAATCGGATGGTCGCCAAAGTCGGCAGCGACGAAAGAAACTATCCCACAAGACTATTGTCCCAGCGACGAATGCCTTCGTCAATCACCGAGCGCAGAATTCTCAGCGATCCATTGATGATTTCTGACTCGTAATACTCCAACCTTGTATCCTCAGCAGCACCAAACAGAGAGGCCCACGAACGACCACCGCTGGCGGCGCCCGATGAGGCTCCGTCAGCGACGGCCGTCATCAGAATTCAACAGCGAAACCCTAGCAGAGAAGCGAGAACGAGGAGAGAGAAGAGAGTAAATGTTTTCGATCGGGTGAGTATATTACAATGTATCATATAGTTTTAATTTCACTAAATATAAAAAAAGTGAAAAAGATGGATTGAGCTGATAAATCATAAGCAATTATCTGAATTAGGGCACCAATTTCAGTTACTAGTTTGATACTGCATACAATACAATACATCAATCGTATTCACGATAAGTAACTAAAAATTTAAATTTAAAAAATATAAGTAATTATCTGTATAAATGTCATTATCATCTAAATTATTCTTTTGAAAAGCGGCAGACCTCTTTTTCCATATAGAGGAGCTATAATAGTTGTCTTTCTAATAATGAATGATTATTTGCTAAAAAATTTAGCTATATTACTTCAATAACATCAAGGTGAAGGAAGCCCACTAGACTGATCAAAACCAACTGGTTAACCAACTGATTGAGTTAACCGCGTTATTCCAATTCCACAAGACGGTGGCAAAGACAAGATTTAGAAAAAGAAGAAAAAAAAAGAAATTGAAATAAATTTCCACAGAACCTAATAATTTTCATTCTGCATCTTTCAATGTCTTCTAACGCTTAGTAAATGATATATCCCATATAATCAACCATAGAACCTCATCCAACAACTTAAGTTATTGACACCAACCTCATCAACGATAGTCCCTTCTCAACTCCTCACTAGGCTCGAATTCTATTGAAAAGAGTTTATCTAGAATTTTCTATATATGCATCAAAATTAATCTAGGATATCAAGATATCTTTAAATACTGAATTAAGAAAGTCAGCCAATATGGATCGTCGTTATACTATATCCAAGTAATAATTTCCCCGAAGTAAATGGCGCTAAGATCCAAAACCTAAATAAAGCGAAGTGATTTATATCTAATTACTATAAACGTCGGTGATACGTACTCACATGAATCCTTAGAATACTGATAATAATCTGATACCTAAATTTCATTAACGACCGTGCCCATGGTGATTAAGATGGGTTAATTGACTAATAGTCGCGATTAGTCGTATATCCTAAGCCATGCCTATCAATGTGGGTTGGAAAGGACTAATTATATAACTAACATGAAGCGAAACGTATACATTTGACTCCATTAAGAAAAGGTAGTAACATTAAGACACAAGAGAGACAAGAGTTAGTTATGGGTCCAGCTAACTAATAATTAACAATTGTTTGCTACATTAATTCAAATTAAAGAAAATTAAAGAGTATTGCCATTTTTCAAAAAGTCGTAATACAGTCCGAGATATCTGATAGAGTTTCATTAGCATATGCCCAAATAGTTTCCAGGGGTTAGTCGGTTAGTGTTTAGCTAATCAAGTTTGCAAGATTCCTAATCCAATTGCTATTTTTCTAATAGAACAGAAAATAACGTCTTCTTAACCCAAAAGAAATAAACCCTGCTCTTATTAGCTAAGATATCTGCAGTATGGTTGGGCTTTCAACTTTATTCTTGATAGTTGATACCATGGTTCCTCTTCCTCTCATACTTATCTACATATATTTCAATATCGCCTATTATATTACTTTTCTCCAAAATAAGAAATGTGATTTCAAACATGAGACTCTCAAAGAAGAAAATATACTTAATAACAATCCGAACGTATTATTATGGCTTGCTTGACATCGGATGAGTGGATAGAGTTAGAGCAAGCAATAATTCATTTGAAAGAGACATACTAAAACTAAGTATCATTCAGTTGCCCTGCCCCTTCTGAAAGTAAAACAAAGAAGGATCCAATTTGAGCAAGAGCAACTAATGAATTCATCCTCCTTAGTCCTCAATATAATTATTGGCTTCTCACAACCAAAACTGAACTTGTTCTCAGGTACAGAGAGAGAGGCTTCTCACCCGAAACACCTCAAATTGCTAAAACTATCAGAACAAATGGCCCAATTCCCTCCCTCTATGCCGTCACTGAACAGCTCACAGTCAAAAGAAAACCTCAAAAATAAGCCATACTATTGTAATTAACACAAGATTATGTGTATATCTATACCCAGAAGATTATGTAAATTTATACCCCCCCTGAAGATTTGCTTACCCGTGTAGTAGAAGTACTTAATCCTCTAATTACCTCCTAATTAAACCCAGATTAGACTGACTAATTACTACCCTTCCTCTCTTAAGACTCGATCCCGCCGTTCTCCCTCACCAGCAAATCGTACGGCGCCCAGAGCGCATCGAGCGGGCACGGCCGGCCCGAATCGATCCTCGCCCACGGCTTTCCCTTCCCGCTCCAATGTAACAAGCTCACCGGACCCGGATGCAAATCCCGGCACAGCCCCCTGTAATTGTCCCCGCCCAGCCCGTGCTGGTTCCACCGGTGATCCACCGACGCAATTTCCCCGGCGAAAACGAGCAGGAAAGGCGGCAGGGAACCCAGCTCGTAGATCCTCATCCTCTTCTGAAGCTCCATCCACTCCACGATCCTCCTCGTGTACCCACCGACCCTCCACCGCACCAGATCGATCACCATCACACCCGTGTTGAAGTAGCACGCGTCCCTCCCCGCGAACGTCAGCGACAGGGACGGGTTCGACCAGAAGGTCGGGGTGAAGTAGATGGTGAAATTGGCGTTGCAGTATTCGGGTGCGGCGAGGGGTTTCCCGAGGAGAGGGGTGGCGGCGAGGTCGGCGACGTCGTCGACGAGGATGAGGTCGGAGTCGAGGTAGAGGATTTTTGTCAAGCAGGTGGGGAGCAGGGTTGGGAGGTAATTGCGGGCGTAGTTGAGAGGGGAATCGAGTGCTTGTCGGATTGAGGTCGAGATTAGGCCCTGGACTGGGGAAGGAGCGAAGATGTGGAGCTGGCAGCGGAGGTAAGGGAAGGAGAGGAGGATGGTTTTGTGGAGGGAAGGCAGGGAGGAGATGAAGTGGAAGCGGATGTTTTCCGGGCAGGAGGAGTGCTGGAGTGTGGAGAGGATCGCTGCCATGGAGCCGCGGAGGTAGTGGAGGTCGAGGGTCATGGCTATGTTGATGGATTGGTTTGAGCAGAAGTCGTCGGCGGGGATGGGTGGGCAGGCAGGGGAGTTGTAGAATTTGGGTGCCTCTTTGAAGGTTTGTTTGTCGGTGGCGAGAACGGAACTTACTCCTCCGCGGCCGCTGCCGCCGCCGCCGGCGGAGGCGAGGAGAAGGAGGGGAAGAAGGAGATGGAGTTTCGGCATGAGGGAGGGAAATGGCGGAGTTTGAAGAAGAGAGGTTGGGTGCGTTAGGGATAGAAATAGAGGGGGAGTGAGGAAATTGAGTGAGGCATTTGATCGAGCATGTGGTGGGCGGTAGTGTGTCGAGTGAGAGGAAAGAGGGATTTGGAAATTTGGGGGAGGGAGGGGCCGAGGAATTTGATTTTGAACGAAAGGTCTTTGAATTCACATTAGTAGAGTATTCAGTTCACTCAACAACACTCTGTTTTGTTTCCCGTTGACTGTGGGAAGGAAAGGAAAGGGAAGGACGGAAGGAAGGAGAGAGAGAGAATTGTACGAATTATTTTGTGAATTAATGATTAAAAATTAAATTCCGGGATCCAAGTCGGCAGTTAAATTTTCTTTGTGGGGATCATAATTCATTGCACGGGCCCATGGGCCATGGGATTGGGTCGGACCTGTTTTATTTTCTTTTTCACTGTTTGGGTGCAATTGAACCTTTGAGGGGTATAAACCCTAATTAAAATGAATTTGTGTGAGTAATTACTTATTCGATGTACTGATCCTAATTCAATAAGATATTAAGATGTTATTATGGTATTCGTGGTTGGATTTTGTTGGGGGTATTACCCAGCGAGCTAGGGGACAAAGCCCAAAAAAGTAAAGTACCAAGAGCCAGGTGGCGGCCAACCGGCTGGTGGACCACGGCCTGGGGCGCCTGTCAGGTGTCAGGAGTCTGACAGGGCGGTTAGCTGTCACATAGAGCATCAAAAGCCAGGTGGCGATCAACTGGATGGTGGACCACGGCCTGCGGGCGCCTGTCGTGTGTCAGGAGCCTGGCAGAGCTGTGGGACGCCAGTCAGGTGTCAGGAGTCTGGCAGGGCGGTTAGCTGTCTGGGGGCGCAGAGCATTGAATGTGGGAGGTGACGTGGCGGAGATCAACCTCGGGTTCGGTGAGTATAAATAGGGGCAGACGATAGCATTTACGCAGGTTGGCTTCTCTCACTAAACTATTTCTGAACACTTATCTCTCTAGAAAAAGGGCACAGACTTAAGCTTCGGAGTGCTAACGGGTCGACCAAGGCCCTTAGGCGCTTGTGGGTGCAGTTTCCAGGCGCCTGAGTGACAGACAAGTGGGAAAGTGGAGGATAAGCGTTTGGAAGCATCTTGGCTCAAACAATTGGCGCGCCAGGAAGGGGGTCGAGGGCGCACGAAGACGGTAAGCGCATGGAGAATATGAACGAAGGGAACGATGGAGAAGGCAATTCCAGGTCGGGGAACTCGGATCACGAGGGAGGCGAGCGTCAGCTGAGTCAAGAGAGGAGCATGGATGGGGAGGGACAAGGAAGCCCTAGGCGCCTGTCCGCTGATGATGGTGAATCTTTGACAAAAAGAGAGTTGTTTCGAATCATAGCCGACCAAGATCGGGCCATAGCGGCGCTCAAAAGGGAGTTGGAAGGGGAACGAAGTGAAGATGTGATGATGTACAGCCCTGGGGCGAGAAAGAGGGAAAGAATGGGGGAAGATTCAGAGTCTCTGCAATACGGACCGCCGCATGCCTTCGAGCAGGGGCACGATGCGTTTGGGCGCCCACGAGATGGGAGGCTAAACATCGAGCGCGCGCAAACGGGCCTAGAGGACGTATGGGCGCCTAGGAGGATTGCTCGGAGGTTTGGTGTTCGGCAGCCTCTGGCACGATGCATTCTAATGGAGCCAGCAGGAACTACGATCCCCCCGTTGCCAAGTTACGATGGGGTGGCTGACCCGGAAGATCACCTGAATAGCTACTTCACCAAGATGCAGCTCTACAACAGCTCCGACGCCACATTGTGCAAGGTGTTTCCATCCACATTCGCAGGCGTGGTCTTGGATTGGTATCACCAAATTGAGGAGGGGCGCATAGAGTGTTTCGAGCAATTTGCTGAGTTGTTTTTGTCCAAGTTTGCAAGCCGGAAGCGTCGGACATTGACCATAGGGGCGTTGTTTAAAGTCAAACAGAGAGAGGGCGAGGCGCTTAGAGAGTTCTACGATCGATGGATCTCGGTTGCAATGGCGGTCAAAGATGTTCAACCAGCAGTGTTAGGGGTCTGCTTGGATGCCTGCACCTCAAGCGAAGAGCTATGCCGGGTCCTGTCCAAGCGAGATGTAGTGTCCACCGAAGACCTTGACCGAAGAGTACAAAAAGTGATTATGCTGGAAGAAACTTTGGCGGCGCGAAGGGCTGAAAAGAGGCGCCTAAGAGGTGATGAAGGTGAAGTGAGGCAGGCGCCCCGACCTGGCACCGGAAGTTTCATCCCACCAAGGAGGCCAGAGGCGCCACGCCCGGTGCCGAGGAGTGCTGCAAATTTTACAGAGTACAATGATACCCTCAAGAATGTGCTGCAATATGTGAAGGATAGGGGCTACCATATACGGTGGCCGGGGCCCATGCGCGGCCAGCCTAACGAAAAAAATCTTGACAGGTATTGTGACTTCCATCGCGACAAGGGGCATCACACGGCCGATTGTTACCAACTGAAGTCCGAACTTCAAACTTTAGCTGACAAGGGCATGCTCAACGACTTCGTTAGAAGGATGGAGGACAGGACACATCGAACCTATGTGATGAGGCAGGCACCGGAACATAGGAGGACGCCTGAAGAACCAAGAACCCAAACCGTGGTGCCAACCGCGGTCAGTGAAGCGCCCAAAGAACCGGAAACTGAGCCGGCGCCTGATATTCCGCCACCTCCGTTTGAAGTGGACCAAGAGGGAGAGCCTAATCGTGTAAGACTTACAGTCGAGTCCATAACAGGTACCCTTGACTTGAGAGAGAAGTTGGAAAGATCTAGACGCCTGCGAGCTGCGTCGCTTGAAGCCAGGGAATCCGTACACATCCACTTTAATCAGGAACCGGATGAGGCGTGCCAAGTCCCGTCGGAAGAAGCTCTTGAGATACAAGGGGTGATAGCCGGATGTAAGGTGAAGCGAATGTTGGTGGACACAGGCAGCTCTATGGATGTCCTCTTCAAGAGCACCTTCGAACGAATGCAGCTGGCGCCTGAGTTGGTGCGCCCCTCAAATTCGGTGTTGGTCGGATTCTCTGGCGCGCCAGCTCAAGTCATCGGACGCGTACGCCTCCCCGTGACTCTGGGGGACGAAACGCATTGTGTAACGCATGCGGTGGAGTTTGGCATCGTGGACTGCCCGTCGCCATACAATGTGATACTCGGCCGACCTCTATTGGCGCAATTCAATGGGGTAGCTTCGACGTGCCATCAGACGCTGAAGTTCGTCGCTCCCCAAGGCGTGGGCGTCTCGCGAGGAAGGAATGTCCCGCGATATGCAAGAGAAGAGGAGTCAAAGAATCGAGGTCGAAAGCATAGACTGAATATTATAGACATCCGTCCGGAGGAGGCGCCCAGGGCGGAGCCGATGGATGATGAGATGGCTGTGATATTGGACGAGGGGCGCCCAGACCAAATGATACGAATATCATCACAGGCGCCAGAGGCTATGCGAGCGCCCTTAATAGAATTGCTGCGGGAATTCGGAGAATTGTTTGCATGGAGCGCCCGGGATATGCCCGGAGTGTCCCCCGAAGTGGCGGCTCATAGACTAGCAGTGGAAGAAGGTAAGAGGCCGGTGCAACAAAAGCGACGAAACTTGACCCCCGAGAAAGAAGAGGCGCTCCGGCATGAAGTTGATAGGTTGCGTGAGGCGGGGTTTGTGGAGGAAGCAAGGTACATAACGTGGCTATCCAACGTAGTATTTGTCCCAAAGCCGTCGGGAGATTGGAGGATGTGCGTGGACTTTACTAACCTCAACCGGGCGTGCCCGACGGATGCTTACCCTATGCCACGCATCGACTTGCTGGTAGATGCAACGGCGTATCATGAAGCGCTCAGTTTCTTGGACATGTTTTCAGGCTATCATCAGATCCCAATGGTGGAGGAAGATCGGGCGAAAACGGCCTTTATGACACCTTTTGGCAACTTTTGCTATCGGGTCATGGCATTTGGTTTAAAGAATGCAGGCGCCACTTACCAACGCATGGTAAACCAAGTCTTCCGCAAGCAGATAGGGAGGAACGTGGAAGCATATGTGGACGATTTGATAGTGAAGAGCAAGAGGCGCCTAGATCATATCCTGGACCTCCGGGAAACGTTCGAGACAATGCGCCGATTCAATTTGAGGCTTAACCCCAAAAAGTGTGTGTTCTTTGCGGAGGCGGGAAAGTTCTTGGGTTTCATGATAACCAAGAGGGGGATTGAGGCCAATCCCAGGCAGGTGGAGGCCATCAAAAACTTGGCGCCCCCGAGAACGCCGAAAGAGGTGCAAGTGTTGACGGGAAGGCTGGCGGCGTTGGGACGGTTCATCCCGCGAGCCTCGGATCGGGGCGCTCCCTTTTTCAAGGTGTTGAAAAAAGCCACCAAGTTTCGATGGACAGAAGAATGCAACAAGGCTTTTGAAGAATTGAAGGAGCTACTCATAGCGCCTACGGTAATGACCGCGCCTAGAGCCAAAGAAGTGCTATACTTGTACATAGCGGTGTCCCACATCGCTGTGAGCGCTGTACTGATATCCAAAGACTCGCTAACAAAGGAAGAGCGACCGGTGTATTACGTCAGCCGCACCATGGTTGGCCATGAGACGCGATATGCACCCATAGAGAAGGCGGCCTTGGCGGTAGTAATGGCCGCGAACAAGCTCAGACCTTATTTTCAGGCTCATAGCATCGTGGTGCTTACCAACCTGCCACTAAGGACGGTTCTCGGGTCAATGGATGTGTCTGGGCGCCTGGTAAAGTGGGCCGTGCAATTAAGTGAGTTTGATATAAGTTACGCGCCCCGTCCAGCTATTAAGGCTCAAGTGTTGGCAGACTTCATGGCCGAAGGTGTGGCCGACGGAGGGCCGGGCATTGAAGAATGCTGGCAAGTGCACGTGGATGGAGCAGCAAGTCGGGCAGGCGCCGGGGCCGGCATGGTGCTCGTTAGCCCTTTAGGCGCCCTTCATGAAATTGCGCTTCGTTTTGCAACCCTCAA